GTTTTACCAAAAATACATATGAACTCGTATGTTCATCGCATCACTATTCACGACAGCAAACAGGTGGAATCAACCCAGGTGCCCATGAACAGCAGATTGGATAAAGAAAATGTGGTACATACACACTATGGATTACTACACAGCTATCAAAAAGAATGAAATCATTTGCAACAACATGGATGGAGCTGGAGGCCATTTTCTTAAGTGAACTAATGCAGAAAACAGAAAAGCAAGTACTGTGTGTTCTCACAAGTGGGAGCTAAACATTGGGCATAAAGAGGAAAAAATAGATACTGAGGACAACTGGAGAGGAGAGAGATGAAGGGGGCCAAAAAACTACCTATTGGGTACTATGCTCACTACCTGGGTGAAGATTCATTCATACTCCAAACCTCAGCATCGTCCTCAGCATCATCCAGTAAACCTCTGTAACAAACCTGCACATGTACCCCATTCCTAAAATAAAATGTTGAAAACGAAAAAAGCAAAATTTCTAAAAGCCTTTTCCTTTCTGTCCTCAGTATTGGGCTTCCTCATGGTATATGGCTAGTAGGTGTTAGTACTGCTGTCATGACTTTAACATGTAAAATTATTTTGCCATCTCATCTTTCATAATTGCCTTTATCTATATTTGTTATTCCTTACAAACCTTGCAGTTCTATAGTCTGTTTAGAGGTCAGTGGTACCTTTGGATTTTGGTCCTCTCCTAATTTGCAATTTATAACTTTCTTGGAGAGGATCTGGATTTAAGTTTGAGTAATTGCATGACTCAAAAGTAACAGAAATGTGATTCTTTCAAAAACACTTCATAAGTCAGAATTTTAGTAATTTAGACAGATTCTTTCCCCACCCCAAATTCTGAATTAATGAGTTCTGTTGGGTTTAGATACCCACATCACATGTTTTTAAGGATTATCTTATTCTGGAAGCCTACTAGATAGAAAGATTAGATTTTCTTAAGTTCTGTCTTTAAATTTTCATTTTGGTTTGCAATTTGATACATTCTGACAGCCCTATATGAAAAAAAAAAAGGATTTGAAAGTTCTTAATCTTATACAGAACATTCTGCTTTCAAGTTAGACTTTTTTAAGAGAGTACACGGGTTGTGATAGTAAGGGAGGCCTATATGGTTTCATTCAATTAATTAATTGCTACTTTCTCCCGGCCTCAATTTTTTAGTTATTTTTGTTCACAAGAATTCTAACTAAATTTTACTTTTAATTTTTGTTTTCTTTTGAGACAAGAGTCTTACTCTGTCACTCAGGCTAGAGTGTAGTGGCACGATCACAGCTCTGCAGCCTCGACTTTCCAGGCTCAGATGATCCTCCCACCTCAACTTCCCGAGTAGCTGGGAATACAGGCACAAGCCACCATGCCCAGCTACAATTTTGTATTTTTGGTTGAGATGGGGTTTTGCCATGTTGTCAGGCTGCTCTCAAACTCCTAGGCTTAAGCGATCTGCCTGCCTCAGCCTCCCAGAGTGCTGGGATTACAGGGGTGAGCCACTATACCTGGCCACAAACTATGTTTAAAGGAATTTTGCTCCCTGAGTCAGTAGATGAGTAGTTCAAAGGTGCATATACACAAAGTGGATTTACCATGAAGCCAACAAAACAAGTTATAAAATTGAACAACGGATACTTTTTAAACATCTACCAGGAATCAATATTAAACTAGGTAGGCATTGCAGGAGTTACATTAAGAAAGATAATGGACAGAGCATTCCTGAAAACTAAAACTTTGTTAGTTAACAAGGTGAAGCCACTAGAGTTCTAGCCAACACAGTGTAGAAGAAAAGAGGACTAGAAGATACGAAAATCCAGGACAAAGGATTACTCTCCAGGGCTAGAGCTACTCAGGGCTTCAAGGATGAGGATTTGAGTTGAGTCTAAAAGCATAAGGACATAGAGCTGAATTTTCAAAGTTAGCTGTAATGTAGGAAGAGAGGAGAAATAAGGAGATTAGAGTCATGAGCTAGGAGGTCATCCAGGAAAGAAGATTGTTTTACATGAGCTAAAAGAATTTCAAGAAAGAGTAGGTGTGATAGATTAAATATGGTCAGAAACACTTTGCCCTTCATCTCAGCAAGAGGGTAAGTCTCTTTCTTCACCCTTTACACCTGAGCTGGTCTTAGGACTTTTGCTGACCATAGAAAGTTGTTGAAGTGATGTGTGTATTCCAGATGTAAACCTCAGAGGGACTTGCAGTTTCTTTCTGCATTCATTACCTTGGAAAGCTGCCCCAGGTTTGACATGTGAGGAAGATACTTCGCCTCCTCTAGGATGAGAAGAAGCCACTGGGGAGGACTGAAGCTGCCCACTGACAGCGTCACCTACTGCCACCTATGTGATCAAGTCCTGTGTGATCGTGGGCTCTCCTGCCCAGGTAGACACATGAGTGAGCCCAGGTAAAACAAGCAGAGGGCACCACCCAGCCAAACCAAAGAATCATGGGAAATAGTATATCGTTTTCAGCCGCTACATTTGGGATGCTTTGTTATGCAGCAGTGGATAATTGATGTGAAAGAGGCATAAGAAAGGATGAGAAATGGAGGAAGACAAATAGATTTGGAAGTCATCAGTGTCCTGGCATCTCAGTTCCGGAAAAGACGAATCCTTGAAGCATGTTGCCAGTTTACAGGTGGAGACATTGAGTTATCAAAGTCTGAGGCCATTGATGATTTAAATCGTTTGTAATTGATAGTCTTATTCAGAGTCTAATGCCCACCAATCATTTTGACCTCCACTTGGATAGGGCCAATTCATCCAATTGAAGCAGGGAGAAAGTGTGTTCGTTAGTTCAAGGATATAGCCAGCCTTCCTCACAATTTTATTTCCCATTGTAATTGAATCATTTTCATCTTATTTTGTTAGAAACAGGGCCTCATCTGTAAAAATTAGCCTTATAATTTGATATTTTCTTTAAACTTAAGGTAAGCTTAAGCTTACCTTAAGTTTAAATTGAGAGAATTTTTTTTTTTTTTGCTTTTTCTTTTCTTTTTTGAGACAGAGTCTCACTCTGTTGCCCAGACTAGAGTACAGTGGCATGATCTCAGCTCACCGCAGCCTCTGCCTCCTGGGTTCAAGTGATTCTTCCATCTCAGCCTCCTGAGTAGCTGGGACTACAGGTAGGCACCACCATACCTGGCTAATTTTTGTATTTTTAGTCGAGACAGAGTTTCACCATGTTGGCTAGGCTGGTCTCGAACTCCCAACCTCAGGTGATCCTCCCACCTTGGCCTCCCAAAGTGCTGGGATTACAGGCATGAGCCACCATGCCCAGCCCTTTTTCTGCTTTTTCTATATTAAAGTATTTTTAAAATTTAGGCTATCTAAAAGTGTATAATGCACAAGGTGAAAATTTTCCACAATCCTACTTTCTTTTCCCCCCAATAAGCCAAGATTCATGGTTGGTTCAATATAAATACATATGCACACATACACCTACTGCCAAGTCACCTATCAGGTTGATTCTTCCTTCAAGTAAAAGGTTGACGAATTGCTATGTTCATAATATCTATAGTCATCCATTTCCCTCTACTGTTTTCTAAGTATTTTTAAAAGAAAATCATACATTGTGCAAATGTAGTTTCCTCCCATTATATTAAAACTCAAGAACAAGTATCCCTGCATTTCTAAGTGGAATGATGTAATCCTAGGAACAGTAACAAGTTCTTCTTCATTGCTAGCCCCTGCCTCTCACCTCTTCCCCTAGGACATGGTTGTGGTCATTAGAGTTACTAAAAAAGGAAAGGGAATTTTCTGCCGCCCACTTCTAAGTTAAATGTTTCACTTCTAAGTTAAGTTGTTTAAACCATCTCTCCATGTGAAATTTAACCAGTTTTCTAAATGCCTATTCATATAAGAAACTTATCTTTCTTAAAATTACCTTAAATATACAATATTTAGAACAACTATAGATGGTTAAGCCTGAGAGTTTTTCTGCTAATCTTAGCCTCAGCAAGTGTTCAGGGCACAGAGGGGGAGCTCTAAGTCTGATAGAGATGGAAGGGCTGAGGCCCAAGGTCCTAGCCCAGCGGGAACATGGTACATCTACATGTCCAGTGGCCTCCCAAAAGCCCAAACAAAGAAAACCCGTTGGGGGGAACTAGAGAGGTGGAAGAAGTTCTATATGGTTACAGAATAGAGGTTTAAAAGGTTCACTTGTTGGCTAGGGACTGGGCGTGGGAAGCATGGGGGTCGGTGAGGGATAAAAGACTACAAATTGGGTTCAGTGCATACTGCTCGGGTGGTGGGTGCGCCAAAATCTCACACATCACCACTAAAGAACTTACTCTGTAACCAGATAGGACCTGTTCCCCCAAAAACCTATGAAAATAATTTATTTTTTTAATAAGATAGTTTTAATCAGTAGCACTGCAGATTCCCATCCTCTATAGAACAAAATTAATTTCAGAATAAAATATAAAATAAAACAACAACGACAGTTTCTTTCTGTTTCAGAAAAGAAATGCAGACAGTAAAAATATTAAACTTTGTGTGAGTAAAAATTATTACAAAAAAGGAAAATATAGTTTAATGCTTTTTAATTACAATGTTGTATTTTTGTTTTTGTTTCATAGAAAAAGAAAGGTGTAACCTTGTACCTACATGTTGGTTGGTCACAGTAATGAATAATAGCATTACAGTTTGATGATAATTATAAAAGACTAACATCTTAAAAACATTCCAGTTCTAAAGATTGTATTCAAATTCAGTATATTCATGTATAAATGAAAATTTGCACTTGCCAATCGAATACATTCACTTTGTATTTGGAAAAAAAAAATGTTCATTTGCTGGGAAGAAATGATTATTCTTCCTTAGCTGAATCACCCAAATTAAAGACAAGGCATGGAAATTGGAATTATGCACTGAAACACAGTCTTATGCTAAAGGGAATGTACTAAAATAATTTCAGATATTATTCCTTTGTTGTATATAAAAGCTGCACTTTTGACCAAAGAGTATTGTTCAGAAACCAATGTGTGTAATACTTACACTTTTGCTAGCTCCATCGATATTTGTTCCAAAGAGCAGCCCTTTGTCTCAGGTATAAACATAACAACAAAAAGTAGGGATGCAAGACTCATGATTGTATATATAAAGCACACCCATGGCAGGCCAATAAGATCTGTAAAGGACAAAAGAAATGGATTAGAAATGTGTGTTGTGTAGCTTTGATCCCATTTGTGAACAGCCACTTAGGGCATCCATAATGCAATACGTATTTTCAAACATGCCAGCAGTATTCAGGAAAATAGAAATCACAAATTTAAAATGTAGCCAGCTCTGAAAGTCTTACTTTTATAGACGACCTTAGCTTTCTCTGATGAAGTAGATAGCAATCTTGTAACTATCATGACATATACCCAATGCCATCTTCTTGGTGGTCATGTCTTTCTGTTTCAAAATGGCACTGTATCTTTGTTAATATAAAAAAGCACATGCAAAAAATAAACCTCAAATAACATAGAAACATATGATGTAGAAGGTGAAATATCTCTTCTCCCCCTCCACAGTTCCCCTCTTGGGAATCGCCATGGTAGCAGTTTAGTTTCTGTCTGGTGGACAATTTGTCCCCCTCTTACTTCATTTTCAGTGGTGGACATTTCTAATGACATATTTTTTTTTTTTCTGTTTGTTTTTATGAGACGGAGTTTCGCTCTTGTTACCCAGGCTAGAGTGCAATGGCGTGGTCTCGGCTCACTGCAACCTCCGCCTCCTGGGTTCAAGCAATTCTCCTGCCTCAGCCTCCCGAGTAGCTGGGATTACAGGCATGCGCCACCATGCCCAGCTAATGTTTTGTAGTTTTAGTAGAGACGGGGTTTCACCATGTTGACCAGGATGGTCTCGATCTCTTGACCTCGTGATCCACCCGCCTCAGCCTCCCAAAGTGCTGGGATTACAGGCGTGAGGACATATTTATACAGATGGATTTTTTGGAATGAGCTCACTCTTTGCTCTGATTTGAATAAATCATTTCATGCTGGAAATCTTTTATCATTTCTTAATAGCTTGCAGTGTATTCGTAATGCTTCTTCCTGGGTTCAGAGAAAAAAGTGATCATTGATCCAGTGAAAGACATGAACTTGCCAAGATGCATCACATGAAGCAGGATCCTCTAGATTCTGATGGCTCTCATCTGCAAACCTAGTTTTTCCTCTGACCACTTCCAGCCAAAGATACAGTCCCTCTGTTGTCATGGACCAAGTCATGGCGCATTCAATGGTGAATGTGGCCCCCAATGCACTTGAGTCTACCATTTGCATTGTGCCGGCCTCTGACTCAGCAGCAGAAGTTCTAGTGTGGCAAGGAGTAGTCAGAAAGAAGGTGGCTCATGAGATCGCGCCATTGCACTCCAGCCTGGGCAACAAGAGAGAAACTCCGTCTCAAAAAAAAAAAAAAAAAAAAAAAAAAAAAAAAAAAAAAAAAAAAAAAAAAAAAAGATGGCTCTTTCTGAACATAGGCTCAAACCAACTAGGAACAACAAGATTTTTTGAATAGCCCTTAACAGCTGCAGCCACAAACCACAGTTGGTCAGGCAGGAAAACTGACTGAGCAGTTGTGTACGGAGGCAGTGTTTGTAAATGCAGCGTGGAAGAACTGAAGCATAGTAACCACTTGTCAGTGAGTTGTACTGAGATTGAGAGAAGCAGGAAGGAGAGCGGCACTGCAGCTCTTTTGGCAATTTTAATTAAACTCCTGCTCACTGTGCTTTTCTTGCTGGCACAGGGTACTGCCCAACCGATTGCTTAATAAAGTCCTTGTAGAATTGTGTCTCCTTCCTTCTCTGGAGCATAAAACCAGAATACAGAAATTGTAAAAACTCCAAAGCTTGTCTCATCAAATTGTCCCCAGCTTTGTTTGAGCTCTTTGAGTAACAGAGAGCTTACCATTTCACGAAGCCTCTCATTGCCATTTAGCAGCTGCATCTGCTAAAAAGTTGTTCCTTGCTTAGATCCTAAATCTGCCTTTCAGAGGCTGTGCTTTGTCCTCTGGAAGGACACACATTGAATCAGCTCTCCCCACCCCTTCTCCATGACAGCCATTCAAATATTTGAATGCACCTCAACTCTCCTATGAGAAACCCCTTGTCCAAGTCAAACATCCTGAACTCTTGCAGCCATTCTTCCCACAGCATAGGTTACTGCCCTTGCCATTCAGGTTGCCCTCCTTCAGTGGACACACTGCCATTTTTAAACGGCCCTCTCAAGATATTTTCCTCAGAGCTAAATGCAATACTACAATTGTGTCATGACCACTGCAGAGTACATTTGTCTATCTGGAACAGTCTGTCTTTATTGATACAGCTGAAATTGCATAAAAATGTTGGTATTTAAGGGCGAGCTGCCAAGTAGAACCTCACATCTTGTAGATCCCTCTATCCCACACTTGGAAAATTGATTTTGAAAATAAGTAGGAAATGTTAACCATTCCAATTAAATGTCATCTAAAGGTTTTAGATAATTCTAGGCTTTTTTTTTTTTTTAAAGTGGATCTGTTTTCCTAACATTCATTCTAAAAGCCCGTACGGGAGAACTTCTAAATCTTCACTAGCTCACATCCAGTATATTAGCTAGCCCTCCCAGAGATGTGCGTCATCTTTTTCCATCCCTCACCAATTCCATTTTTTCTTGCATATTTCTCTTTCTCCACATCAAATAGCAGATGGAGGTATGTGTGTGTTGTGTACGTGTGTGCACATGTGAAAGTGGATGGCATGTGTGTGATCTGAGTAGGGCCAGTTTCTTTGTTTCCTTCAATCTTGAGCCATTTCTCAAAAGGTAGGACAGAAACATTAGAACTATGCTTAAATAGTAACTCCAAAGGCTAATTTCCAAAAGTGGATATACTAAATAAATAATACATATGTATGTGTGTGTGTGTGTGTGTGTGTGTGTGTGTTTTGAGCAAACGTTCACTTTTGAAAATTACCTATATAAGGACTATATGAAATGAAGAAATTGGGTTATTTGTTTCATAGAATTTTCTTGATTGCAGTCATGTTGCATGTTCGTGATCCCTATATGAAATAAAGATAAACCGACTCATTGGTCAGTTTTGGTGGATAACAACTGCCACATTATTTTGAAAGCTAGAAAATAAAAAGAAAGTTTCAAGCACATATTTTACCTTTCTTATATGAGCCACACTTCAGGGTAGCCAAATAGCTAATGAGAAGAAATTTCTCTTTAGAGAGGTATTTCAGATGAAAATGAAGAAGGTATGATATAATAGGTAGGTCTGGGAAATGATCATTAAAGGAGCCCCATGTGACAAGTGAGACAGCCAGACCTGATGTGCCTCCTGTTGGCAGGTCACGTGGCGGCAGCTGCCAGGGAGCTCACCAACAGACAACATCCAAATCTCCTCAAGCTGCTAGCTTAAAAAAAAATTAGGCTTTATTTATTCATTTTAGCTCTATCATTCTTTGTAATCCCCAAAGGGTTTCCCTTCTTACTCTGCCCATATCTACTGGCTTCCTAGTTGGAGCTAGGAAACAAGGCAAATGCTTCTGATTTGATCACTAATATTGGGTTATTTTATTACAATATGTAAATCTAATTTATTGTTCTTTTAGATAGGGCTGCTGAGTGGAACACACAAACAGCCATTTTTTGTTTTGCTTATAACATTTGTTTATGCCTTGCCTTCTTTCCAACATAGGGATCCTCAAATTTTCTATACAAGCAGTTGAATTTCAGGCTTCAGTGGAAGTAACCAATGAACCTGACTTTACTAAAGAATCTCCCTTCTGCTGCTCTCGATCCTTGAATTTGATGAGATCCACCTTGAAAACAAATGTTTATTATTATTACAAGCAATTCTACCTGACACCTAAACTTGACTTTTGTTATTGTGGATTGCTTTCCCTTTCTCCTCAAACCTCTATGTAAATCTAATAGCAATTTACAAGAAACATAAAAGACAGAGAGAGGGGCCAGGCGTGATGGCTCATGCCTGTAATCCCAGCACTTTGAGAGACTGAGATGGATGGTTCACTTGGGGTCAGGAGTTCAAGACCAGCCTGTCCAATATGGTGAAACCTCTGTCTCTACTAAAAATACAAAAATTAGCTGGGCATGGTGGCATGCACCTGTAATCCCAGCTGCTCCAGAGGCTGAGGCAAGAGAATCACTTGAACTCGGGAGGCAGAGGTGGCAGTGAGCTGAGATCATGACACTGCACTCCCTCCTGGGCAACAAAGCAAGACTGTCTTTAAAAAACAACAAAAGCAAACAAACAAACAAACAAAAAACAGAGAGGGACATGCTACATGACTATAATCAACAAAATTCAGACTGGAAAATTCTGTGAAACAAATGATTTTTTAATTTCGTTAAAAATATAAGGTACAGTGGGGGTGAGGAGATGGAGACAAAACCTACAAATTATGAGCCATGTCAGTCACTTGTATGTTATGTATTTGGGTCATGATTCAAATCATGTATAAAAAACAATGATAAGACAATTAGCGTGTGAACACAGACTGGATATTTGACACTAAGGGATGATTTTAATATTTTTCAGTGTGATAACGATATTGTAGTGACATGTTTTTGAATGTCTTTTAGAGGTCTATGCTGAAATACAGTCAAAACAACATTCATTACCTATGGAATTGACTCAAAATAATTTGGTAGGGGGAAAAGCAGGTGGGGTTATAAATAGATTTAGATTGAAAACTGTGCAAATTGGGTCATGGGCACTTCAGGGTCCTGGCCATTCTAAGAGTGTTTGAAAATTTCCACATACAAAAAATAGTTTTTAGGTGGGTGTGATTCCCAAACATTTGTCCTATGAAGACCAAAGACATTAGAGGAAAACAAAGACTTCTTACCAGTTACAGTCAAAAATGTCAGTGAGATGAGAAGATTGATGCCCCAGTTCATGCTAGAAGTTAAAGCCATGGCTCGTCCTCTGATCCCACCAGGAAAGATCTCGCTGAGCACCAGCCAGGGCACTAGAAGAAAGGGAAGAGTGCATGGTGGACAGCATTTTAGCAAAATCCCATTGAATCTGAGTGTCAGTGCCCTGATCTCTCTCTGCCCTCGTCCTGCCGGGATTTGTGGTTGGAAAGCAGGGCCATTTCCTACCTTAACAGGACAGGATGGAAAAGGGACTTGCTGCCTCCTCACCTCCAGCCAAGGAAGAAAGGATTCACAGAAACACTAGGAGAGCCGGACCAGGGTCTCCACATGTAGGGTGTTTGAGGCGCTGGTATCTGACACAGGCCTAAGAAATGCAAACCGCACGGGCAGAGGCGGGGGCCACCTGCCTGGCAGCAACAAGACAGCAAGCTCTGGACATCTGCCAAGCACAGGAGCCTGGGTGCCAGAGCCCAGGTGTGACTGTTGGAGGACTGGGCTGTTTCCTCAACTCTCTCCCCCCGAACTTGGAGGCACTGGAAATCACAGCTAATGGCTAGGTAGGAAATGGAGCCACCAGGGCATGAGGAAGCCGGCTACTCTTCCTTCTCCGACTTGGGCTTCCTGGCCTGAAGCAAGCTGGGTGCAGAGAAGTTCTAAATTAAATAGAGCTCCAAGATTTGATTATTGTACCAGACTAGACATTTGAGTTTCTAGAAGGAGAGTCTTATTGGCACCAAAATTCATCAGAGGATTTTTTATTATCTGAGAGTGACAGGGAACATTATGGGGGTTGCCTGATGGGATCAGATGGGGCAATCGAGGAGCAAATTAACTTGTCTTCTGCTCATAGCCTATCAAACCCAGTTTGCCTAATAAAAAACAGCCAGGAGTTCTTACTGCGGGCGTTTACAAACAATTTTAAAACCTCATCTCATTGGATTCTCACAAAACCCTACAAGGTAGGAACTATTACTATGCCTCTTTCGTCGATGAGGAAACTGAGGCTTAGAAGAGCTAACTTGCCAAGGTCACGGAGCACGTAAGTACCAAAAGTGGCATTATCCCTGGTAATCTCTGGAAGCCATGCTTTTTTATCACTGTGCTCTCTTGATAGTGGCTCAATAAATATTTGTTAATTAATAAATAAATGTGGAGTGTAAGCATCTTTGATTCAGTGGAAAGAAGGCCTCCAGCCCTGTCCCAGCTCAGGCTGCCTGTGGGCTGATTCGCTATAATTTAGAAAACCAACATTGTTATATCAACCAACTACACAATTTTATCCTAGGAGAGGGGATGGGAAGAGGAGACTAAAAGCCAGGGAGAGGCCGCTCTGGCCAGCAACCACCTGGGATGCCTATGCCAGAATCAAGCAGTCAACCGTGCCTCTAACTTAAAATTTGCCTCTCCTCACAAGATTACACTCTGTAGAGAAAACATCTGCTGGGTGTAAAGTTGCCGCTTTAAAGGAAGAAAAAATGAAATTGGATTGTAGAAGACTGGAAAAATCTATTTTTTCTTGATTATCTCCTCCAAGTGAATCTATACAGGGTTACCTTTCACGCATGGAAGATAATTGTAATAAAAAGTAGTATAATTATTATTGTTCTTATTAATGAGAAATTCAAAACTAGGAAATCCCCTGTCTGCCATCTCTCTCACCTCACCTCTCTTCCCCTGCCCCTCTCCATGCCAAAAGACCTTCACTAGGTTCTTGTAGATTATATCCTTGGTGCAATCGCTTAACTTTTAATGAGACCAGTTTAGTGCTGAGGCAACCCTGTCTTGAGCTTTGCAAGACTGAAGATCCAGCTCTGAGTAGAATGATATCTGCATAATTCTGGTGAAGGCTTTGTAATGAAGACCTGTCCTTGGACAAATGCAATATAAAATTATATAAATCTGATTTTTAAACTAAATAATATATGCCATGGACCAACCCCCCCATGCCCCTTTCTGCTATGGGTATTCGATGCTGGCCAGGTGAAGCTGAGGGTTCCTACAACCAATTGCTTTAACAGCCATGAGGAGGTGGTAGGGTAAAGGGCACTCTCTTTTTTTTTTTTTTTTTTTTTTAGTAAAGATAGCTCAGGGTTTCTTGTTTCAGCTTCCATCCTCACCTCATCACCTTTCAGACCTCCTTCTTTCCCTCCCCATCTTTCATCATGGTGACCTCTTGGAATTATTTGGTGAGATTTGGGGAGAATCATTGCTGGGCTCATCAGAACCACTTTGGCCTCAAATGAAAACGAGTTGATCCTGCTATGATCAAAAGTGGACCTCGCCAACAAGAAGACGGGACAGTTGCACAAAATACCAATCATATGTGCTCAGTCTGAACTGCCAGGGACTTGTCTAGAAAAACTCGAGATCCACATTGCAAGACTGTCCTAGACAGCTGAGCCAAGTCCTTGGTAAGTTTAGTTAGCGATCAGTGAGTTGATTATTGGAAAAAAGACTTCCCTCAGTCTCTGTTCCAAAGGAAACTTATCAAGCAAGCCCTACACCTGATGCTTCCAAAAATAACTGTCTCATTGCTGAAAGAGCCTGCTTCTTTTTTGATTGAATAGAAGGAATTAAAGAATTGATGGATTGGTTTATCTAATATTGACAAAGGAATTAAAGAATTGATGGATTGGTTTATTTAATATTGACAAACAGCAATTGACAAATGTTTTGACAAGGATGGTTCAACCTCCCAATGTGGAGCCTGTCAAGTTAAAAATAAGAATATTGAGCCAGGCATGGTGGCTCACACTTGTAATCCCAGCACTTTGGGAGGCTAAGGTGAAAGGATTGCTTGAGCTCAGGAATTTGAGACCAGTCTGCACAACGTAGTGAGACGTGAGACCTTATCTCTCCTTAAAATAATAAAATAAAATAAGCCAGGTGTGATGGCACTCGCCCATAGTCCCAACTACTTGGAAGTCCGAGGCAGGAGGATCGCATGAGCCCAGAAGATCAAGGCTACCCCGAGCTATGATCACACCACTATACTCCAGCCTGAGCAACAGAGTGAGACTTTGTCCCTCACCTCTAAAAAAAGAGAATATTATTTTAACAATGATTTCAGAGCTGTAAAATCACAGATTTTCCACTCCAGAGAGAGGAAAAACAAATCTGAAAGCAGCATGTGCAGCAAGATAGAATCACTGAAAGGATCAGAGTCTTTCCATGGCAGATCCAGAAGCAAGACAGTGCCAAAAATCTCACCAGCCTTGATTTTCTCTGGAAAGATTCTGTCAATACCTAAAGCAGAAGCAGTGGAGAAACTCAATTTCAGTTCATAAGAGCTGAAACTCTTATTCATTCATAAGAGATATGAATCACACATGAGATTTAATGTGTTTATGTTTATAATAACAGGTGGGAGTTTTCTTAATCATGAATTCCTTTTCCCAATGAGATGGCCCAATTCCTTCCTAAGGAAAATCAAGTTATTGCCACAGGGGAGGGCTCCCTTTCACCACCACAGCAAAGAAGCAGTGGCTGTCTCCGGGCATCCTCTTTATTCCCTACCCTGATGACAGACCAAAAGGGGATACGCATTGTCCTATTTGCTCATTAGGAATCCACAGAGCACTCATAAGAGAGACATAGTGAACTCTTCTTGAGCACAGCCACTGCAGTTCAGTAGGCACTAAAACGATTCTCCTCGACTCCTATTACTCTACTTTCAATCCCATCGTTTCAGGACTGCCTCAGCAATTCATATCCTTATAAATGTCAGGGTCTGCACCAATCTTTAAGGTCTTGTCTATGTTGCAATGATGGAAGAAATGTTGGACTTGTGGGGGGCAGAGGAGTGGTAATTGTTTATAGATAAGGAACTCATATTTCACATGGTATTAAATCATCAGGGCTGCCCATCAGAACTTACCTGATCCAGATGAAATCCACAGACAGAGTGTTTATGGCTACACAGAGTGCCATAAAAAGATCATAAAGGGCAAGTATGTTGAAGTTTCTCTGTGTTCGGTTGAGGATGTGGACTTGGATTAATAGGGATATTCAATGGAAATGGCAGCCCCACCATATGTGTATTTCCCCATCCTACCTATTTCAGGCTACTGCTCCAGTTTTTCCCACAGAAACTGTCATTTAACCTTCTATGCCTTCAGATTTAAATTCTGCAGCTCTCCAGGCACACATTCTGTTTGGCTTGAGTGCTTCCTAAACCACCTGGCATGCTAGCCCAGGGTTTGAAAGGCTCACAGAGGTCTTGAAAGTCTTGCCAGAGAACTCCTAACAGTTTGGAGGAAGCTCTACGCTCAGGCTGCAGAGTTTTCAACAACTTGATTTGCAAAGGAGCCATGCCCTACGCTTTGTAGGAGTGAAAAATCCTTGGTTTTTATCATCTTTGTAAGCAGCATGCAGCACACCTACCTCTCTGACTGTAAAGGAGTAATTAAAATGTGAATTTGAGAGGGATTGTGCCCTTCCCTTCCAACCAGATGTTTAAATTCTGGCCTCAAAAGTTGCCTAAGTGGAAAAATTGGGTTCTTTAAAAACAAGTATACGACCGGGTATGGTGGCTCACTCCTGTAATACTAGCACTTTGGGAGGTCAAGGCAGGTGGATCGCTTGAGCCCAGGAGTTCAAGACCAGCCTGGGCAACACGGTGAAACCTCGTCTCTACAAAAAATACAAAAATTAGCCAGGTGTGGTGATGCGTGCCTGTAGTCTCAGCTACCCAGGAAGATGAGGCAGGAAGATTGAGGCTGCAATGAGTGATCTTTTCATTTTAAGATCAAATTAAAACTATGATCTTAAATTGAAATTTATTTTTATTTACTCTAAGAGTATCTAAGAGTTTTTCTGAATTATTAACAGGAGATGGAGGCTGCAGCGAGCCCTGATCATGCCACTGCGCTCCAGTCCAGGCGTCAGAGCGAGACTGTCTCAAAAAAAAAAAAAGGCCAGGCGTGGGGGCTCACGCCTGTAATTCCAGCACTTTGGGAGGGTGAGGTGGGCAGATCATCTAAGCTCAGGAATTTGAGACCAGCCTGGCCAGCACTGTGAAACCCCATATCTACTAAAAATACAAAGAATTAGACGGGCGTTGTGGGGGCGGGGGAGCGGGTGCCAGTATTCG